TCCTTTCATCTGCGGTGATAAATTTCAGCCTGACCGTATGGTGGCATGGCGTCGCGTTTCACCCTTATGCACATTGACATCTTTAGACTCTCAACTTTAGCGATTGCGTTTCGGTTTTCGAATTTGGAGTTTCGCGGTCGATGCTGATCACGATGGGGCTGGAGTGTGATAGCAGAGAATTCTAAACACCCCACAAACATTGCTTTTCTAGTGTTTTTAATGAGTGGCTGTTATTTCCGGTGTGCTGGGGTTTTGGACGCTTACAGATTCTGTCCTGCCTGAGCCATGATTGGGTATCTTCGAGTCGATTCCTGTCTTAGCAAGATCCTGGCTGCGTTTTTTGTGTGCTTCCGCTCATCCTCTTGGTCGTCTTGAAAGTTCAGTTTTGTCATGATGAGTCAAGTTCCGTCTACTGTTGTGCGGATGGAAATCGTATTTGAGTGTAATTACTACGGGTTTCAATGGCAGTCATAGTAGTAGCGGTAGTAAATTTCCAAAACACTTTTTTTCAAGTCAATAATGCACTGTTATATCAAACCAAGGCTTAACTCATACACTAAACTGACAATGGCATCTGTTTATCTCACGTTATCCCCCTGCCCTTTAAGAGAGCCTGTACTGCACTTCGCACTTTTGCAAACGTGTTTGTTTTCAGAATGAATGTTACTCCCTAACTTGTTGCAACATATATTGTGTCGTGTCTGTAATCATCTGCCTATACCTCTTTTCAGATAACAGGCTTTTTGATTGACCAGAGGAGTACTGAGGGTGAGCTTCTGGACCTTCCCGTCATAAAGGATATTCTCCGCGGTGGTAAAGACTCCATCTTTGACTTCCTGCATATTTCCCCAATCAAGGTATTATAAAGCTCTGCACTATCCCTCTAATATGTACACTTTGGAGATTCTTAAGTCGCCTAACCCTTCTCTCTTGCCTGCACAGATGCACGTCAGCTTCTCCCTCGTGGGTTCTCAGGAGGGACGTCAAACGGCCTTCCACAATGATGTCCTCAACCTTTTCCTACAGTCGCTCGGTGTCGCGCTGACTGATGTCCAAGATGTTATTTTCAAGTAAGTCGATGGTTCGAGCAGAAAAGCGGTTTTCTACCGGAATCACTTGCCTCCCTTTGTGTTCGATTTGTGTCACTCATAACCTCCCGCTTCTTCCATTTCTAACAATTATCCATCTCAACGGTTGTCTCTAACGCTATTTGTCTGGCCTGTCGTCAAGGAAGAAACAGTTGCGGTGTAATAGGACAGCTTGCAGTTTTGCCTGGTGCTGAGGGGTTCACTCCGTCGCTTGCCATTACCTACAGTCAAAGTATTTGGTATTTAGTCTTGATGCTGGCCTCATTATGCATTTTAAGTTGTGCATGGCTTGTCCTCATGGGGGGTTGCGTCATAGCAGATGTTAGATCCGCGTAATTATCCGTTTTAATTCCACGACGTCGGCTTGGAGACAATTTACTTGTCGATGCAGATAATTACCGAAGACTGGTTAGCGTTTAATTTTCAGGCTGCACTTGCCAGAACGTGAATGAAGTGGGGTAATGGGTGTATTTGTCAGATTCTGATTAACCCATTTGGCGCAGTTGTTAAAAACTCCGGCGGCCTCGGTTGGATTCGGACCCACGACAGCAAGCAGAAGTTTAAACCGATGCTCCAAACATCCGAGCTACGAGTCCCTGGCCGGAAGCTTTGAGTTTAGCCATACAGGGATCAAGTTACCTGTCCAATTGACTGCCCAAACAAGATTTCCTAAGTGATCAATCCAGAATCCATCGGATGACTACCAGGATAAGTTATTTGATGTTTTTTTGGCAGACTTATAATAATTTTTTGGCCCAATTGTGAAAAACCCGCTGGCCGTTATTAAGTCACTTATTCCCTAAGCAATGAGTTTGACCACCAGCTGACTACAAAATCTGTCAAAATCCCTATGAAGTGCGTCCGGTAGTCATCTGGGGATTCTGAATTGATTCGGCAGTCAGCTTACTGTATTAGAATTGGGGGATTCCACAAATTGCAGTAGGCTTGGCAGCTAACTTTATCAACGTTTGACTAAAATCAGGGCTCCTGATGGGATCGCATAGCTCAGATAGTCGGAGCGTTAGTTGCTCTTAGGTCCTGCTCTTGTTGGCATGGATTCAAGTCCCTACGTTGCCATCGAGTTGTTCACAATTGAAGTCAATAAATTGCGGTAAGTTCGATCTGGGTGGATGGGAGGTAATAACACTGTTGCTAGTAAATGCTGTGCTTAAAAGCAAGCGTCGTGGTTGGAATTTGAGCCAGGACGTTATAGACAGCAAAACACATGCGCGAGGGAACTGGATATTGTCCAAATAGATAGACAGTATTATTGAATGACTATGACTAATCACTACTATGGGCTAGGTCCATAGTGGCACAGAAGTTATTCCTCCTAATCTGGACCTCGAAGCCGGGAGCTGAAGTTCAGCAGGGTCCCACCTCACATGCATGGTGAACTAAACTTACAGACTCAAGCCATGTTCGCTGCGTTTATATTAGACTGCTGGAGTTTTCTATCTTTAGCTTCACTCTTTGTGGTTGCGATCATCCCCGGTGCCTGTTAACGCACGACGGTCGGCGGCAGACGATCTAGTGAGTTTGATCCAGTCTGTTGTTTAGAACCGAATATCTGGTACCACTAGTTTTTAAAGGATATACATATCTTGTGGGAATGTTTCGATGCGAGTCCTAGGCTGACCTCTTTCGCGTAATCTCTGGTGAGGTGGTAGCTTCAGAGTTCATGGGACGGTCGGAGAAGAATGTGCCCAACCAGCGTCTTTCGTTTTTCCTGAATGGCCTCAGGTGACCCTGCGATACTTCCACAACTATTGTAAACTGTCTCAATGACGGTACGATTCATGTGCCTCACTGGAAGAGTTGTTCTCAGGCAGCAGTATTCAAAACGCTCTAGTTTTTAACTGAACAACAACGCTTTAATTCACAGACGTGAGGGCCGACAAGTCAAATGAATCCACAATACACTGGGATCCTTGTGACAATTAGGATATTGCACTGCCAACGATCGGTAATATTTTGAGGAACCTGACAGCGTTTTTTTCATGAAAATTCGCCTGATACTGCTACATTGTTTAGCGTCATGTGGTGCGGACTGCGCAGAGGTACAAGAGCATTATTTAGGGAGTTCAAGGAGTTGTGAGTGATTGCGCTGGAGTATGAAATAGAAGGA